CCGGCAAACTCATATGATCATGAAAAAATTTCTTTTTGTTATTTTTTTCATTTGTTACGATGTAATTATGTTTATTCTAATATTCAAAATTAAAACTCAGCGAGCGACTCCCTACCAATCATGATCATAAATTGCCGGATAACACAAATATTGGGCAAATTGTCGAATACGGTAATTTGACAAATGATTGGCTACACGTACCGCAAAGCGGCACGTGCTCATTTGCCAAATTACCGTTATTCGACAATTTTTGCCCAATATTGTATACTTACATGTCAAAAAATTTGACAAATAATATCGATATAGTTACTTGACGCGTAAAAACTAAGGGCTATATTGTCCATCATAAATATCTTGACAGTTATTCGTCGGAGATCTGTTAGATGCATTTAAACCGCATCTGTCAGATCTCCGACAATATTAGGTGATCGCCCGACGGTCGTCCATCACGAAGAAATCAGATTTCAAAAATAAATATAATATTGCTGATTGAATATATGATTGATAGACAAAAATTCTCAAGATTCCCCATTTTATTTAACAAATAAGTGACGCATTTCGAAAATAAATAGGATTTTTTCAATAGTATTTTTACTATATTGAATTATAAATCGGAATTATAAAATAAGATTTTCATTTTAAAATTTACAGTTTTTTGTTAGTTAAAATTTTGATATTGTTTGACAAACCAACTATATACCAGTTATAATATACTACTAGGAGCAATACTGCAGAATCGAAATGTGATTGGGAGTTTTGAGAATTTTTATTTAGACACATTAATTAGATTTATTCATGAAAAAGCGCTGATATTTTCAGATTTTGGTGGACGATCAAGCACGATAAATATACTGTAGTGGTTTTTTCGATTTAGCTAAATCATTCAAAATTTCTAAAACATTTTTAAACAAAAATAAACAAAGTCCATTGGTATAGAGATTGAGGGTCATTTCCCACGTCTGGGTTGGTGCATCTCAGGGATCGAACCTAGAGTTCGCCGTAGACCATTGTACACTAGTTATAAGCGCACTCCATACCCCAGCAGCAGACGGCAAATAAATCATTGGTGCCGATGTTAAAAATTAAACCGATTAAAATCTTGTTCTTTAATGTTAATAATCAATTAACTAATTTGAAACGAACTATTGCATCTATGATTTATCAAATTTTTTTTTATTACAGATCATTAAGGTTAGGAATGGTTCCATTTCAAATTTAATACAGTATTAAATGAAGGACTCCGGACATCTAGTACAGGGGTTATAATTTGCGGAAACGGTAACAAAAATATTTGTTTTTGCGGCATTCAGTGGCCCAATTTGGATGAACTTTAAATGAAAGCGCTCACTGAGGCGCATTTAACTTCAATTCTGGTCACTGATCCCAAGATATTTTAAGGAAAAGTGTTTTTTTGAGGTTTAGCAAATCCAGTTATGACCTTATTAAATGTGCATTTTTCCCATTACAATTAAGGCAAAGCAATCATTCTATACTCAAACCCAACCATACCTTCTATACCAATGCTGTTAACTTTGGAAATTTCTGGCCTTCCAGTAAGATTTTGCAATAGTAAAAGATACAGTAACAACAGCACTTTGCCGAGAGCTTTATTACATATAATTATTGTGCCGTCCTTCCATGTTGAATTCGATCCTAAGTATGCTTGAATGAAGGAATTCTATTACAAGAAGCCTTTTGCGGGTATTCTAAACACATAGTCCTTCATATCTGAATAGAATTGACCAATCAAAAAAGAATGTTATCCTTGCGTGTTATGATTATACTTTTTCCTTAATTTGATTGGTATAATTTATCACGTGAATATAATATATATGGACATAACAGTATAACAGTAACAAATGGTTTCTTTCAAGCACTTTCGGGTTATAATTTTAAAATATGTATACTGAAAGATCTAGAAAGTAAGTGACTTATAATCTTTCGCTTAAATCCTTTCTTTTCCCTTATAAATCATTCATACCTTCCGTTTTTTCTAGCTCTAGAAGATACCGATCTCGTTCACCTCATAGTGGTGATCGTCACCGTGAAGAGGTTACTCACCGCCACCGATATAGTCGAGAATATGAGCGTGAAGATCGCAGGAATGCCGATTATACTGAACCATCATATCGAAGTTCTCCAAGGAACGAAAAGCCTCACTATGAGGCCCGCGATAGCGGAAATGATATACAACCGAAAAGTCAGCAGTCTGAAAAACCACCTGACTCTGAAACTATAAAAGAACCGAACTCTAATCATAAGCCAAAAGTTCCAATTTCTCTAGAAGAATTACTACAGAAACGTGAGACTGAAAAACAAGCAAATGATAGAGTTTGTAAATCTTATTCATATTGATTGATTAGAAATATTGTTATATTAATTTGCCGTTACTTATGCTATAACCATTAAACGTGTTTATGATTTGTTATAATTACTAATATATATCTTTGAAATTACTCAATTTTCTATGTCTTTATAGCCTAAATTTTTGACAAAAGAAGATAGAGAAAAATTAGCGCTAGAGGAACGACATAAAGAAGTCGAGCTATTGCGCCAAAAACAAGAGGAAGAAAGACGTCAGCAAGAAGAATTCAGAAGACGTGCGATGGAAGAAGCTCGACAAAACGGTAATATTTCTGTTTATATTAATGTAAAAAAAAAAAGATTTAAATCCTTTGTTAGTAACGCTTATATTTTTTTGATTCAGGCTATGGCCGCGACAGGCGAGATTATTATGATCGTTATGATCGCGATAGATTTGACCGATATGATCGTGATAGAACAAAGGGAAGAGATCGTGATACTGGTGACAAACGTTCCACTGATAAATCTGATCCCAATGACGAAAAAGATAGGTTAGATGAGAAAGAATTACAGGCAATACGAGTGTGTATCAGATTCGAGTTACAGTGTGTAATTACAATCGGTTGAGAATTCTAAAATTAACTATATTATATGTATAGGAACGTTATATGGGTGGCGAGCGCAAAAAACGTAAAATAAGAAAGATGAATGAGAAAAAATTTGTGTTTGATTGGGATGCTGGTGAAGACACTTCTCAAGATTTCAATCCTCTATATGCAACTAGACATAATGCTCAAATGTTTGGACGTGGTCATTTCGCTGGTATTGATATAAAAGAGCAAAAACGAAATCGTGCACAATTTTATAATAAAATGTTAGAAGAGAGGAGAACACTGGATCAAAAAGACCGTGCAGAGTAAATATTAATTTTGACATAAAATGTGATATTGTTCTATAATTTACTAACTTTATTGTAAAATTTAGGGAAAGAATGGAAATTGATCGAAAGAAAGAATTAAAGAGTATGTGGGATGACAGGCATTGGTCTGAGAAACCATTGAGTGAGATGAAAGAAAGAGACTGGCGTATTTTTAAGGAAGATTTTAATATAACAACAAAAGGTGTGTTTTATGTTGACCAATTTGACAAATCAAATTATAGCTAAAAACTAACATTATACATATAATTTATAGGTGGCAGCATTCCAAATCCTATAAGGTCATGGTCGGAACCTGGTTTGTCTGAACAAATTCTAGAAATTCTTGCAAATATTGGTTATAAAGAACCTACTCCTATACAGCGCCAAGCCATACCAATCGGGTTACAAAATAGGGATATCATTGGTATTGCGGAAACTGGTAAGATATTTACTGTTTCATAAATTGTTTCATAAAGCGTTTAATATAGTCTTCCTAAACATAATTTTTATGATAGGAACTGGTAAAACCGCGTCATTTGTTATTCCAATGCTTATGTATATATCTGAACTTCCTAAATTATGTGAGGAGAACATGTCTGATGGCCCTTATGCCTTGATTTTGGCTCCAACACGTGAATTGGCACAGCAAATAGAACAAGAAACTTTAAAATTTGCTGCTCCAATGGGCTTCAATTGTGTTTCCATCGTTGGTGGGGTAAGAAGTAATACCTACTGTAGTATTAAGTTCTTTTATTTTTAGTTATAACGCTAATTTATATTCATTTCGCAGCATGCAGTTGAGGAGCAAGCATTCAACCTAAGAAATGGGGCAGAGATCATTATTGCAACCCCAGGTCGTTTGAAGGACTGTCTTGATCGAAGAATTTTGGTTCTTAATCAATGCACATATGTGGTGATGGATGAAGTTCGTATCAAAGATCTTAAAAGGATGATTTGAACAAAGTTACTAATTAAATGTGTTTATATAGGCTGATCGCATGATAGATATGGGTTTCGAAGCCGATGTAAACGTGATATTGGATGCGTTGCCTGTGTCTAACGTGAAACCTGATACTGATGAAGCTGAAAATCCAATAGAGTCGCTCAAAAAAAGTGGCCGAAAAGAACGGTACAGGCAAACGGTTATGTTTTCAGCTACTATGCCTCCTGCTGTTGAACGATTGGCCAAGAGGTTGTATTCCAATCTTTATTGGTATTTTTTTTTTTTTACAATTTATTTTTTTTATTCATGATATTTTTTTTGCAGATATTTGAGACGGCCTGCTGTTGTGACGGTAGGTACTGCTGGCCAAGCTGTAGACACCGTGGAACAAAGGGTTGAAATGATTAACGATGAAGGAAGAAAGAAGTAAGTATTTGTAAAATTCATTTTCTTTCACGTACTTATATAGAGTTTATTTACTACATCTATTTCGTTGTTCAATTTCAGGGCACGCTTGTTAGAGCTTCTTCAAGGATCTTTCGATCCGCCAATAATCATATT